TTAGGTCTCTGGCAGGGGGTGGAGGAGTTGGGCAGGATGCCCTTGAAGAGGATACTGGGATCCTGGACTTTTCCTCTCTTTTTTTGCCTCCTTGCTACCATGAGGTGAATAGCTTTGCTCAACCATATGCTCTCAACATGATGTATTGACTCACCACAGGCCCAAAGGCTATGGGCCAAATAAACATAGATTGAAATCTCTAAAACTCCGATCCAAACTAAACCTTTCCTCCTTATAAGTTAATTATCTCTGGTATTTCGTCAGAGTGATAGAAATCTAGCATGCACTCAAGAAAACAAAAAGGAAATAATGATAATATTTCCTTGCTTTAGTCAGCCAGGGCAGTGCATACCTATAATCCCCACAACTCCAGCAACTGAGAAGGATTACAAGTTTGAGACTGGCCTCAGCAACTAAGTGAGGTCCTGTCTCCAAAACAAAACAAAACAAAACAAAACAAACAAACAAACAAAAAGGTTGGAAAAGCAACTTAGTAGCAAAGTTCCCCTGGGTTATATCCCCAATACAAAAAAAAAAAAAATGTTCCTTGCTTTCCAAAATCTTAAAAATAAACATACTAATTTAATTTTGGCATATAATTCTATACAGTTTTATTATATATAATAGATTAATGTAGGGATCACCACAATCATGATATGCAACTATCATGATATGCAACTATTATATTACTCTCAAGAAATTCTCTATGGTACCCCTTCATAGGCACAACCTACCCCTAACACTAGCATTAATGATAGATCTGTCTTCTATCACTATAATTTTGCTATTTTGAGATTATGTAAACAGAATCCTACAATATGTAACCTTTTGAGGTTACAGTCAGCATAATGGTTTTGAAATCCATTCAAGTTGTTGTATTTATCAATAGTTCATTCCTTTTATGAACATTTATGTACAGGTTTTCATGTGAACTTAAGCTTTCATTTCTCCAGTAGTTCGATTTCTGTTTTGTGTGGTATGTATGATTTTATCTATATAATAAATAGCCAAACAGTTTTTCTAGAGTGGCTCTGTCATTTTACATTTTCACCAGCAATATATGAGAGATCTACTTCCTCTGCATCTCAGCACTTGATATCATTTTATTTTAGCCTAACAGGTGTATAGTTGTGTATCATTGAGATATTAATTTGCATCTAACAGTCAATGATGTTATTTAATAATGATGTTATACACCTAAATAGTGCTTTTCATTTTTACAAATAATGTTTTAAACATGTCAATTCTCACAAGTACAGGTGTAGGGTAGTTCAAGTGATAAAGAGCTGATATGTATATCTGATATATAAAAGAAAGCCAGATATAATTATACCAGTGATACTCAAATAATTTAAAACAGAAAAGAAGCATGAAGGTGATTTAGCCATCCTTTCCCATTTTATAGAGAACTGAGTCCCAGAAAGGTTAAATGACTTCTCACACTGCTGGAATCATAACAAAAACACACTACTGATACTTGAATCTCTTCTATAATGTCCATCTAAGAAGTGATAATTTTTTCTTGAATCTTTTAAGTGATTGGGAATCACTCATTTTTAAACTCTGTTCTGTTAGGAAGTTTCCTGACACTGAGGTGAAATTGCCTATAAACAAGTGAATAGTCTGTAAGTGTTTTGACATTGAGCAGAAATAGCTGACTATAGATTGTTGGTGGGTCTAGTTCCATCCTCAGACCTCTCCAATGGAAGTGTTATCTCTTTTCCTTATGGCATGATTTCAGATACTTGGAAACAGTTATTCTGATGTAACAAATATATCCCATGTCAAGCTTTAATATTTACCTAATACCATTTCTAAAGTGAGCCTGCTTGCTTTCCTGTAAACTAGACCCAGATTTTTTATGGTGCCCAAAAATGAACAAAATATTTTTAATACAGAGTTTATACATTTTACAAGTATACATATATGTTGAAGAAAATAATGAAATTCCTTTGCCTCTCATTTAGTATGAGTATTTCCTCATATCATTAAAAATATGTTTTTAAATTTGTAAACTAACACCATATTTTTATTTTTTTACTTTTTCAGTACTGGAGTTTGAGCCCAGGGCCTTGTATATACGAGGCAAGTGCTCTACCACTGAGTTATATCCCCAGACTTAAAAAAAAAATCTCATTAATTTACACAGGCTGGTTTGAACTTGTCATCCTCTTGCCTCAGCCTCCCAAGTGGCTGGAATTATAGTCATGTGCCACCATGCCAGCTCAATACTGTATTTTAAAATGCATTTATTTTTAAAATGTGTTACATGCACATGGTGCAAAATTCAAAACATCAAAGAGGGTTTACAGTGAACAGTTAAGCCTCTCAGCCTTTTGGTTAAATGTTATGCTATGCTACGCTATAATATTTCAGACATCTTTTAAAAAAACACATAGATCTTTATGATTGACATTCTATCACATGGTTGTCTCATACCTGCTTAATCATTCATCTTAAATTATTTTACATTATAAATAATTCTCTTGTAACATCCTTCTATATCTTTGTGTGCAGATATGTATATTTTAGATTATTTCTTAAAGTATCTCTCTAGAAGAAAACTGATGCATCAAGTAGCCTAACTTGTACATAGTAACTTTCCACAAAATTGACATTTTATGTTTGTACAAGCAGTACATAAATGTCCATTTATGGTAAATGGGCTAGCTTATTAAACTCCTAGTTTATACATGATAGTACCCATCAACCCTATACAATTTATTGTTTTAAATTTATTATTATTATCATCATTATCGTGTGTTAGTACTAGGATTGAACCCAGGGCCTCACACATGCTAGGAAGTACTCTGCCACTGAGTTTCACCACCAGTCCTTTAATAGCTATTTGTTTATTGAAGTTCTGGAGATTGAACTCAGGACCACTGAGCTACATCTTTAGCCCTTTTTATTTTTTGAGATAGGGTCTTGCTAAGTTGTTCAGGTTGATATTGAAATATGGTCCTCCTGACCCAGCCTCCTGTGTAACTGGCATTACAGGTGTGGTCCACCATACCTGGCTTAAATTTTTACTAAACACAATACTTTACAAATTTAACTAAACACAATACTTTACAATTAACATTTATAATTTATTTACCTCTTTACAAGCCCAGTTCACCCATCAGATTTTATATTTCTGTGGCCTAAGGACAATATCTTAATACTCTGTAAAAAGCATAACATAGACATATACATGAAGTAGTATTCCATAAATTTATATTTAAATCAGTAAATAAACTTAAAAATCCCTACTAGTTTGTTGGATTCTGCCTATACTGTTATAGACTTAAAATTTTTGTCTATTTTAATTATGACCATCTGGACTTTAACTGAGAGTCAATATCTAGCTATTTTAAATTCTAGAAAATACCCCATCCTTCCTAATTATGAATCAGGTTAAAAATTTGATAAATGTGGGTTCTCTATATTCATTTGTTAATAAAATACAATGTTGACCCAGATAGTAACTATGGATCTATCCTAATAACCTCAGGAGAGGCTGACTGCCAGCCAGGAGTCAGTACCTTTTGGTGTTAAGTCATTCTCTAAAGGTACTACTATCTAGCCCCTTCTCTAATCCCATCCCAATTTACAAGTACATGGTAAAAAATGTCAAAATTCTTCTTGGTCTTAAATATTGTCTACTACATTTTATTTTCATAAAACCTAATAGCCATCAGGAAAAAAACTGACTGAAATAAATTATAGTAGGTAAAACCATACTATGTTGTATTATTTCTTTCTCTTATATACTCCCAGAGGATCCTTTATAATTCCTTTCAAATTCTGGCTTAGATCAACATGGTCCTGCCTGGAGATTAGAGGTGCCATGGAATCTCTGTTGAATGTATAAAGTTCCAGTCAAGTAAAAATTGAAGAGTTTCCAAGAAATACAGATTTTCCACCTTATGTCTCTAGAACCACTTCATTTGTCCATGACTCTTTCTGTATTTCTGAGGATTTTTGACTACTTGGGAATATTGAAGTATTTCATCCTATGAGTAGTTTGAATACAATTGCTTCCTGCTACAGATCAAGGGGACAAGGAGTGGGAAGAATTTATCAATTCACAGAGGCTTTCGGTGGTCGTCAGAAAATATTCTGGGGGATCTTTGGATCTTGACTTGACTGTTGCATGTCTTCCTGATTCTGGCAGTGCACAGTAACTGTCAGGTCTTTTTCAAACCTTTGCAATCTTTCAGATTGTGTGGTCTATAATTTGCTAACTCCACTCATGGTCACATACTTCCTCCAAGAAGTTTCTTTAGACCTTCTTCACTCTCCGTAACTCATTCACCATGTCTTATTTCCTCTAACCTAGAAAACCCAATTTTGATGGTTAATTTTATGTAAACTTGACTGGGCTAATGGATGGCCAGATAATTGGCAAAATAATAATTCTCGGTGTGAATTTCTGGAAAAGATCAGTAAACTGAGTAAAGACTTTCCCTTACTAGTGTGGGTAGGCATCCTCTAATCCAGTAGGAGCCAGCCTATATACATAAGAAAAGGCTGAAGAGAGGGCTAGTGTTATGGCTCTAGGCTGGAGTAAAGGCTCAGTGATAGAGTACTTGCCTATCATATGGGAGGCAAGTACCACATAAAAATAAATAAAACATAAAGGTATTGTGTCTACATACAACTAAAAAAATTATTTAAAAAAAGGCTGAACAGAGAATTTTTTTTCTTCTTGAGCTAGAACATCAATTTTTTTGTAGTTCTTGGGACATCAGAGCTTCTGGTCCTTAGGCTTTTAGACTCCAGGATTTATACCAGCACCCCCAGTCCCCATTGTCTAGCCTTGGATTGTAATTTAACATTACATCATTGGCTTTGCCGGTTCTCAAGCCTTCACTCAAAACTGAATTATATCACTGGTTTTATTGGTTATCCAGCTTACTGATAGCAGATCTTGAACTTCCATGATCATATGAGACAATTCTCACAATCTTATCTATGTTATTCTTTTAACTGTTAAAAAGCAACCTGAGACAATAAAATTTTAAGGATTTTATTTGAGCAAATAGTAATTCATGAATCATACAACTCCAAGTGGTTTGGGAGTACCACTGAGGGAACACAAGTGGGAAGCTTTTATAGGACAGAGAAGCAAAGCAAAGCAAAGACTTGATTGATTAAATAGTTGCCATATTTGATTATACCACTGGAAAGTCCCTGGTCATATAAATTTGTTGGCTACTTCTAATTGGTTGAGCTTACGTTTTGTTTTCCTTTAATATATGAATTTATAAAAACTAGCTCAAGTTCATTTTGCTTATGTTTGCAAATCAAATGAATTTAACTTATATGAGTTCTAACTGGTTCTGTCTGCTCTGGGATCCTGTATGTTCTCAGGACTCATTTCTACTTTCCCTCCAAAGCCGAAATGTAAACTATTTATAGCAAATGATAGAATATAAATTCAAACTGTCATGCATTCTCAGAAATTTTTCCTCCATTTGGGAATAGTATTGCTTTGTGTCAATATTTATACTACTCTTTTATAAGTTGCTATTTATCTACTACAGTAAGCTTAATGCAGTGTTTTGAATGTGTTACTTCCATTCCTTGTAACAATCCTGAGGATGATTATCTCCATTTTACAGATGGGAAGAGGAGATCCAGAGTAATGCAACTAGTAAGTGTTGCCAAAAGACAAATGCTCAACAAATTTATCGAAAAGATCTAACTGGCTTTTATTAGTGAGAATTAGGTCACATTTCATTCTATAAAATGGGCTGAGTGGAGGTGGGCTTTATAGCAAAAAAACAAAAAAAAGCTGAAGAAAGCATAAATCAGGAACAAGACACAGATTGATCATTTCAAACTTACTTTCCTAATATGGTTAGAGCAAAGGGGACTTCCTTATTATGTGAGATAAAAGTAGCCATTTGGGGATTTGGCTATTTTCTTATCCTGATTTCCTGGAAGGTAAGATAAACAACTTAAGTTTTAGTTTTATGATATGGAACTTCAGCGGGAGTGATTTCATTTTGGTGTGGTCTACAAGGGCCTAGTGCAGAAGCTCAATTCAAAACAATGGCCTCCCATAAATTTAACAGTCTTGAAACAATTAAAACCAGGTTTATCTAAACACAAACACATGTTCTTTTTACTTTATCAACTTACTTCTCAAATTTCCTTTGTATAGAACAAAGCAAAATAGTTGCTTTCTGGGTTAGATCTCATTTATACCCAAAGCTGCAAGTGGGCTTTCCTTTTCCCTGATCATCTTCTGGCTCTGAAGAGAATTTTAGAAGGTCCATTATATGTCCTTAGTTTTTATTTATTTTTTACAAGTCTCACCTTATTTGGGGGCTTCAGGTTTCTCAACACTATCCTTTAGGGCCCATTTTACTTTCTTACAATTACCCTTAGTATGTTTTTACTTTCTCCCAAGGTTTCTGTCACTTTTAATTAGCCAAGAAATTCCTTCTTGTTGGTCAGAATCAAGTTACCTAGTTGCTCTGCTGGGACATTAACTCATGAGAAACACAAGTAAAAAAACTTTTCAGATGTTCTATTTTAGCCAATGAAAACTTTAAAAAGGTGTCCAGCTATTTGAATTTTCTTTAATTCCTATACTGCTACAAGTGTTGACAAAGCGTATACTAAGTAAAGCATTGTGGTATCAATAATGAATTCTGTTAGAAAGAATTCACATGTGGCAGTATGTATGGAATTAGTTTTAAACCTCTTACATAAAACACTCTAGAGCAGCTCCAAGCTTCCTATTGTGTACAGTATGTACATCTGATTATTCTATTCCCATTTCTCATCCCCCACACAAGTTTACTACATGGAAAATAATTATTTTTATTAAACTATATTTGTCATAACACATTTTGAGTGTAATCTCAAACCAAAAATAGGAGGTGGGATAGGGAATATGACCTTATTGAAGTTAAAATGTCTGAAAGTCTACAAATTAGGATCTTAAAGCAGAAGACCATATATTAAGTAGGTAAAAATATTACACTTAAATTTTTGCTAGCTCTCTCTCTCTCTCTCTGTGTGTGTGTGTGTGTGTGTGTGTGTGGCTAAGGATGAAACCCAGGGCCTCAAGCATGTTAAGCAAGTGCTCAACCAACAGAACAACACCCCAATCCAATATTTGCTAACCTCTAAGTGAAATTTAACATTTCCCTCAATTGTGAACATAGGCTATTAAACCATGGTGTTGTTAGAAGTACCAATGACTTTTTCATCTATACAAACTTCAAATATTTTCCTATCATAGTACTAAAGTTACAAATATCTCAAGACATGATTGGTGCTCAGTACTCCAAAATTATAGATATTAGACCCTCCGCTAGATTTTACTTAATGCATTGTTACAAAAGCACATGCATAAGTACACATTTGTTTACTATTTTATTAGTGTATTCTAATAGGATTGGTTTCACTTATAAACCTATGCATTATATTTTAAAAGCATTATTCTGAAAAAGGTTCTGAAGGCTTCAGCAGACTGCCAAAAAGATCCATGGCACAAAAAAGGTTAAGAATACCTATTATAGACTGGCATTGCAAGTGAAGAGCATGTGGTCTGGTATTACGTTGCTTGGATTCAAATTCTGCTCTGCCACATATGCTAAGATTTTGGCTAAGTTATACACATTCTTTGTGGAATCAAATTCTTCATGTGTAAAATGAAGACCATACCTGCCTAAAAGTCTTCCAATGAAATTGATGTGATATCTGTAAACAGCTTCACACAATGCCAGGCACCTTTAGTATGTTATTCATCTCCACATCTACCTAGATTCTAAGAGTTTCAATCAGAAGCTATTTATATTTATTTTACACACAGATTTGTTTTGAACTCTATTGCCACTTGTTAAAATCATATTATTAAATATTGACTAGCTTCAAATGATTATGAAATACATGCATGATAAACAGAAGAATGAAACAATGAAGACCCATACACCCTCTATACAGTTTAAGAGGGAAAAGTGTTATTTGAAAAAAGGATGAACATACAATATTCAAATTGTGACAATTTTGAGAGTCAAAGAAAGGGATATTAGCCATAATATCAGGCAAACAGGCAAACTAGGATGGTGGCAGGCAAACCTGGACTGTCTAGTCAAACCAACATGTATAATCACCATACTCTTAAGCATTTTGTATGCCACTTCCATATTCCTCCTTCTCTCTGTAGCTACAGAAAATAACTATCTTGCATTTTATGACTATTATTCTTTTGTTTTTTATAGATTTATGTCTTATGCTTACACCCTAAAGACAGTTTACTTCCATTGGTTCTTAAATTTATACAAGTGGTATCACACTGTAATTTTTTTTTAAATTCCCATTTTACTCAACATTTTGTTAACAAGACTTAACCATGTCCAGACTTGCAATTCACCGCTTTTACTGCTGTTTTCTACGTACAAGTATATACAATATATTTATTCTAATATTGATGGATGGTGGTATAGTTTTTACAATTTTTACCATTATATACAATAATGTTATAAATTCTCTTGCTCATATCTCCTGTACAAATTTTTCCTGGGCCATAGAAAAGGTACATTCAAGTTTATTAGATTATGTGAAGTTGTTTTCCAAATTGATTATCAACTTATACTTCTATCAGCCATGTGTAAGTGTTCTGGAGATACTGGGTGTGATGTAGTTTTTCCTTGTGATTTGGTATACATGTTTTTTTTAAAATATAAAATTAAAAAAATATTTTTTGAGATGTTGATGGACCTTTATTTTATTGATTTATTTTTATATGGTGCTGAGGATTGAACCCAGTGCCTCATACATGCTAGGCAAGTGCTCTATCACTATGCCACAAACCCAGCCCAGTATCCACGTTTTCTTCTCTGTGAATTGCCTGTTTGAAATGACAATGGGGAGGAGGGCATTATCTTTTTTTCTTTTCTTTCTCTCTTTTTTCCCCCCTTAAGTATAGGGATAGAACCCAGGGGCAGTTTACCCCTTAGTTATTTCACAGCCCTTTCTATTTTTTGAGACAGGGTCTCTGTAAGTTGCCCACGCTGGCCTTGAAATTGTAATTCTCTTGCCTCAACCTGTAGAGTTATTGGGATTATAGACATGCACACAAAGCTTCACCAAACTGTAGTAGTTCTTTATGCAATCTGTATACTAATCCTTTAACTAGTAATATTTTGGCATTTCCCATAAAAATTTTATTATGGCAAATGTTAAACATATATAATAGTTTACAGAATAGAGGGGTTGGGGTTGTACCTCAGTGGTAGAACAATTGCCTATCGTGTATGAGACATTGAGTTTGATTCTCAGCACCACATAAAAATAAAAATAAATACATAAAATAAAGGTATTATGTCCATCTACAACAAAAAAAATTAAGAAGAACTTTACAGAATAGAACAAGTGCCTATTACTCAGCTTCAACAATTATCAACTTATGATGAATCTTATTTCATTTATACTATCATCCATTTCCCCGTCTCTTATTTGAAGCATATCCTAGACATCATAGGTCTACTTATAGGTCTCTTCCCTGGGAAAAACTATAAATCTGAAGCACACCTACCCACATTCTAATCATCTCAATTACTCACTAGATTAAGGTGATCTTGGATTTCTCGTGTCTAATATTCCTGTCGGAAGTCATAAATTCTTTCTTAGAAAATATCACAATGACCTCAAAGTATAATCTCTTTATGTGTCAAATAATGCTGACAATCAATAAAAAGTAATGTAACATAAATAAGAGAAAATAGCAAACTTTTATAAATAAAATATTAAAAATAACAAAAGTAAAAAAGACAAGACAATATGATAAAGGACAATAAACAAACAAGAGATGCTTCAGATAACAGCAGACCCATAGTTATTAGACATAGTTTTCTTTTGTAAAAGAACTGAGTTATAAATTTGAGAAAATAAAAGATGAGATTGATATTGGGTTGATAACTGGAAACAATAAAACAGAACCAAACAGAAATACTTGAATAAGTAACTAAAAAGATACTGAAATAAATGCTTTGACAGGTAGTTTTCAACAGATTAGAAAGAACTAAAAACAGTGAACCTAATGAAAGGTTAAGAATTATCTAGAATGAAAGATAAGAGACAAATATAAAGAAAACGGGACAAAAACGAAATGGTCAAACACATCATGTGCCGCAGTCTGGCTGGGCACACAATCACGAGCCACCACACAGCTTGTAGATTCAAACAGCAACTCTTTATTCCCGAACTCACACCAGCCGTCTACAATCACGTTCTGGGGAAATCCACGTTCTCTGCCCAAAATCCACCTTCTCTGCCCAAAATCCACCTCCACTGGGCTTCTATCTCCAAAAAATACTCTGAATCCCATGAGAACTCAAGGGGAACTCAGGCAGCAGGATACGCCCTATTCCCAGCAGGAATAATCTTAAACCTTAAACCTGGAACCTAAACTGGGCCCTAAACACAATTATCTTAAACCGGGAACACCCTAATCCGCCTTGGTCCTTGAGCAAGGTCACCTACATTCAATGTCACTGCAACATGGGGTACGCTGGCAAGGAAATTGTCATACCTACTTGGCTAATGGCTCCCAGCAATCATGTAAGTGGAGTACCAGAAGATGAGAAAAAAAGAGTGGAAGCAAAATCAGTATCCAATGAGATGAGATGACAATTTTCCAAAAAAGACCTAAGAACATCAGAACCAGATTCAAGCAGCATTATAAACCTCAAAAGAAAAAAAAAAATCAACAAAAACACCATGCTGGTGTATCAAGGAAAAAATAAATTACCTTTAAAGGGTAAACATAAAACTGATGTTATTTCTAAGAATGGAAGCCAGAAGCAATAGAATGTATCTTTTAAAATCATAAAATAGTTGCTAATTCAGTAAAAATATTGGTTGAGAATAAAACAAAAAATAAAGTTTCAGAATACAAAAACTGGGAGAACATGTGAACATGTAATACGCAAACATTCATAAAACATTCATATTAATGCACTTTCTTGAGGAAAAATAATATAATCTCAGATGCAAACTCTGATTCAGGTACTCATTATACAGAACAGCAAAAGAAAGTTTGTGTAAATATAAGTGCACATTAATTGTATAAAAATAATAAGAATTTAGGAAATACACATCAAGAATAGACAATTTATATAAAATGGTAAGTGAAGTTGATGTGTGCTAAGGTCCTTATATTATCTAGGAAGAGGTATACTAAATTATCTTAGAAGTTAATCAACTAAGAGTTCATGTTGTGATCTCAGGTCAACACTAAAAAGAATACTAAAAGATAAATAATTGTTAAGCTTATAGGCCAAAAGAGTTAAAAATAATTAATCAATTTAAAAGAAGGTAAAAAAGAAAATGAACACAGGATGCCTATAATCCCAGCATCTTGGGAGGCTGAGACAGGAGAACTCCAAGTTCAAAGCCAGCCTCAGCAAAAGTGAGGCACTAAGCAACTCAGTGAGACCCTATCTCTAAATAAAAACAAAATAGGGCTGGGGATGTGGCTCAGTGGTCGAATGCTCCTGAGTTCAATCCCCAGTAAACAACCACCCCCCTGGAAAAAAAAAAAAAAAAAGAAAATGAACACAGGAGAGGTAGGACAAATAAAGAAGTAAATATCATTGATTTAAATATAAACATATTAGTAATTCTTACATGTAAGCAGATGGAATATTCCGATTAAAAAATATTACCACAGATTAAAAAATTTATTATTTTATATTATTCCTCAGTTTAAAAACCACCCCTCCACCCCACTCACCCGACCACTGCACTTGGAATAAAACCCAAACCCCTTCCTGGCTTTCAATGTTAACATGATCTAGCCTTTCCAATACCGTCAGCATTATTCTTCCCTTAGGTGCTATGTTCCAACTATGCAGACTTTCTTTTGACTCCTGAAATATTCCAAGGTAGATCATTCCTTTGTTTTGCATTGTCACCCTTTCTGTAAACAATGATTCCTCAATTTCTGCAAAACAGGGCTCTCTTATCATTGAAACAGAAGCATAAACGGCATCTTCTTAGAAGCTGTTCTTAATAATATAATCTAAAATAGTCATCTATTTAGTCATGAAGTACTATTGTTATAATACTCATCTAGTACTTACTATCTTACATTTTCCTTATTTATTCATGTATGGTCGGTTACTACTGAAACGTGAATTACCTGATAGGGACTATGTCTACTTTATTTACCATGGTTTTCTCAGAGTACAGAACAGTGACTGGTGATAAATATTTAATGAATGAATAAAAGTAATTTCAGTTTCCAACAGATATGGTTTTGTCTGTTTACTGCCCTTGGTGATGGTGACTGTTTTAGATTTTCCTCACAAGAAAAGGTATCAAATGGTATCAAGATCCCATTTCATATGTTAATGGTTTTTGAAAATGTGCACCGTACCACTTGTGTAAAATTTTCAGAGTTTATGGAACCAATTGATCAGATATGTGGTACAGTCATAGAAACAACTGTGGTAAGTGTCATGGAAATAAAGGAGATTCAGGGAGGCTATTCAATCATTAAAAGGTTGCAATATGCTTCTGAAAAAAATTTTTCCCCAAACTAGAAAGATGAGAGCAATATAGGTGAATGTTAAAAAGCAAAATTTTAGAAACAAAAGCCAAACTGATCTATTCTTTACCTAAATTAAAACAAAAAACAAAACAAAACCATCTGGGCTGGGGCTGTAGCTCAGCAGCAGAGTGCTTGCCTCGCATGCTGGGTTCGATCCTCAGCACCACATAAACAAATAAAATAAAGGCATTCTGTCCATTTACAAAAAAAAAAAAAAAAAAAAAATTAAACAAACAAACAAAAACCCACCCTGAGCACTATTCTGCATAAACTGGGTAGATCAAACAATAGAATACATTTCTAATAGTTTGGATGCTAGGAAGTTAGAGATTAGAGTGACAGCATGGATGGGCTTTGGACAGGGCCCTATTCTTGAACTGCAGATAGCTGTGTACTTACTTTGTCCTCACATGATGGAGAGAAGAGGGAAAACATGATCACTTGTATCTCTTCTTATAAAGTCATTAATTGTATCATAAGGGCTCCACCCTCACGACAAATCACCTTCCAAAGTTCCTATCTATTTATGTTGTGTCATTGTGGATTAGGGTTTCAATATATGAATTTTGGGGGGAAACATATAGTCCATAAAATGCTCTTTTAACTTAGAAATTTAAACATTTTCCATTAGAAACTCTAGTCTAATGGCTTTTAAAAACAGATAATATCCCACTAAGCATATATAACAGAATGTGACTAATCTTACTGTTATAAGTAAGACTGCAACTACTTTTTATCATTTAAAGTATTATGACAACTAACATCTTGTCCACAAAGAATTTTAAGTGCAATTTAACTGAAATGATCTTTGTCCACAACATTAAGGTATTTCTTATAGAGGAAAATGGCAAAACAGAACAAAAACAAGATCCCAGTTCTCTAGGTGGTTATTGGAAAATAATATAAATGACAGGAGGGCTGGGGATGAGGCTCAAGCGGTAGCACACTCTCCTGGCATGCGTGTGGCCCAGGTTCGATCCTCAGCACCACATACAAACAAAGATGTTGTGTCCGCCGAAAACTAAAAAATAAATATTAAAAAATTCTCTCTCTCTTTAAAAAAAATATAAATGACAGAAAAAAAAGAAAGCATGTAATAATCACACTTATTAAATGAGAGTAAGAACAGTGAAAGGTTTCTTAGAGGAGAAACTAAGCAGTACATTTTGCAAAAACTAAGGACTGAATTTTGAAAAAAGTAATATGTTTTGAAGGTTGTAAGAGTTCCAGGTCAATGTGAGTATTAAGAGAGGAGGTAACTTCCTGTTGGCACTTCTAAATATTTGGGAAAATTTCTGTCAGGACATTTCAACTTTTTAAATTAAGTCCTAATAGTAAGCAACCAAGACGTTTCTCAATGATTATTCTCCCAACCCCCTTGTCAAAACTACTGAGTTTCTTTTTAATCTTCATCATTCACACCTTTTTCCCCCTTTCATAACTCTTTCCTTTCTTTGAATCTTTGTCAAATACTTCTATTTTAAGAAATGGAAACAGGAAAATTCCTTTAAGACAGGTAAAGAATAGAAAATACTGTTTTTCTATAGGATAAAAAAGGGATTGGGTGACACTGCATTAAAATATATGCATTTAAATCATTAAAATACTACTTGTATAAGATTTATCATGATGTAATAAAGATAACTGTGAAACATGAATATTAAAGGATATTAACCAAGGAGTATTTATCAATGTGCTTTATACTTAATAACGAATATAGAACCCCATGGCATATAAAAAATGATAAGCAGATAACAAAAAGTGATTTATTTTCTTGGTTTTACTCTGGCAAGAAGAGAATCTATCCTGATAATAATTTCAACATTACTGTCACATAGAAGGAGATGCTTTGTGAACCTCAATGAGGCTGCCAGGTTGAGGACAGATATAAGAAGAACCACACTGTCAGAAATGAAAGAGTAAGACTTCACAGGATATGTTGTCACTGACAGGCTGATAGCCACTTTCCTTCTCCACCTTTTCTTCCTCAAGGATAGCACCTGCTTCCCACAGATCCACTAGCAGACAACTACAACCCCTCTCTAACACACTTAACCATCTGTAGATGCCCTGGGGCTTGTCTATTTACAACCTAGTCCCTACACAGCAGAAGCTGAACCCTCAGGGAAGTTCCGGATTGATCCTCAGCAGAATTTGTTTCACAAACTATTCCTCAGCCCCCTCCTGCTTCCAGCTGTTTCTGTCAGTATTTAGGATTTCTGTATCTTCCCTCCTTATAATGCTATGTATCCCCTCAACACACACAAAATTTAAAGTAAAAGACAACATAACTCACACAACCAGTCTCTGAACCCCCTTTCTAACAGAAAGCAACTGCTCCATGCCTGCTTCTTTTGGATGGTTCAGACCTCTAATTCCCAAGGTCTTTGGGCCATTTATGACATTCATATCATTCCCTCTAGATACTCTGGTAAGAAGGGTGAAACCGAAAATCCATAACCATTTCTAACTTCTTCTGAAGCTTCTTAGCTTCCCGCCTCAGTTCCAACTTCATGACAAAACTTGACACTACAGCAAAAAGAAATGGATGAGATTACAGATAGCCACAACTTAAGTAAAGATCCCCATGTACTTCTGGGTTGATGGTGCTCTGCATACCCATTTCAAGCCTGCCTCCAGGACTATATCTCGTTATAATAAAAAGGCATAAAGAGTTGACTGGGGGTAATTTCCTTTCTTTCCACTTGATAATTTCGTTTCCTTTTTTTTTTTTTTTTTTTTTTTTAATAGCCAAAAAGAAAACGTCCATATCGGAATATAATGAACAGGTAGAATTCTCTTCCTGGTTACTGTTCTTCGTAGATGTCCTTCTGGCTCCAGCTGGTGTCTGAATAATGAAGAAACTTCTCACGGTCAGATTCCATTGACCTGAGGGAGTAGAGCTGGAGACACTAAGACAGGAAATAAAAACCACAGAAGGACAACAGGTCTACCGAGAAGGCGAGACTCCCCAAAGGGACGAAATCAGAAAAGCGAAAGGGTACAATGAGACAGGGCACTGGCTAAAAGCCGAGGCAATTACGGCGTTGTATCAGGAAGAACAAGACCCAATATGGTCTTTATCCTCACTAAATCCGCTGGGTAAAGGGGTCGACTCTCACCCGAGCCACCTACTTGTGCTTCCGTCACCTCCCAGAGGGAGAATGGGCTCCTTCCGAAACCACCCAACCTACCTCAGAATCGTCTTAGGCGCGGCAAGGGCGCTCGGCCCGCCCACCTACCTGTGCTGCGCCTGCGCCTTCCCCCGCACCTCTCAAGGTCAGCACCACCCCCAGCCCCTAACCTAGCACCACGGAAGTTGCTTTAGAGGACGTCCTACGTATTTTCACCTCTGCGTAGCGTGGGGTTGCAGGCGTTCAGGAGGAGGAGGAACTTCCTGTCCCGCGCAGGCAAACTTCCGGCAGAGCCGGAAGACCTTCTTCCTCGCGGTTTCTAGAGGTTCCCCTCTGCAACACCGGCAGGGGAGATCGGCGGCTCCGGGGTGTCTGGTCCACTAGCCGTCCTTGGCGCCATGGTGAGTTCTTCTATGAAGGCAGGAGTAACAACTGTGGGAGAGAAATGGCCAGGAAGTCTCCTGTGAGGGGAGGCGGTTGAGTGCCTTGCTTAGAATGGAACTGGCTGGAGCACCCGGTGAACCTCTGTGCAGGACCCACTACCCGCCCCAAGTGTCAGAGCTCCTGAGGAATTAGCATCCGTCCTGACCAGCCGCGAGACTAGGAGGGCGGAGGGTGGGAGTGGATCTGGCAGGAAGTACCGAGTGGGTAGCCTGCCTCTTCGTGGCCCATCACTGTGTATGGCCCGTGGCGCCAAGTGTACCCAGAGTTGACCTTGCCCAGCTCATCACCTCCTCCCCGCCTTCTTTTTCAGCCGCAGGACAGAGACTGAGAATTAGAAATACCTTTAGTGTCTCCAAGTGAACACAAAATCAGGATATCTTTCAAACTCAGCCATTTCAGAATTGGAAAGGATGTGAAATTTAAAAATCCCGATTAGTAAGAACAGATTTTATTCGAAAGAAAAAATCACAAAGGTATGGAGGAAAGATCTATCATAGTAGAGAGAATGCCCTGATCATGGGATCAGCAAGGGTCTCAAAGGTTAGACAAAGAAGGTTCTCTTTTATGGGGAAGGGTAATAACGCTAGAAAGAACCACATATGGAGAAGTAAGATAAAAGACTTGTGTTATGATGGACACTAACCAGAGAATGTTTTTCTCTGAGGCAGCCTATTTTGAGGAGCTGTTAACAGTGGTTTGTATGCTGTTTCAGAATGAGTGCAAGCCAATGTCCAGGGACTTCTAGGAAGAGACTCTTAATCAAAGTCTGATTAATAAGCACTTGTTTTCCATTGATTGGTTGTGACAAGCAGTTCAGGACGTCATTTATGAAACAAGCAGGGAATTTGGAGGGTCTAGATCCTGGCTTTGTCATAGGTAAATTTGCAGGAGCTGGGTGGAAGACTAGACTGTGAACCTTATTTAAGTTCTATGGGGAATGGTGATTCTGTTGCAGTAAGTCATTTTCTAGAACACAAAACGATGGTTTTTATTTTTATTTTTTAAATCTTTGTTGTTTCCAAGATTACAGGGCTCTAGCATAGTTCAAAACTGTCAAGTTACTTCATGGTGTGAAAGCTTTTAAACCCTCATCTGTAGGGCTTATGTCTTGGAATTTGGCTGTAGTCAACCATGATTTTTTTCAGGGCCAAATATTGTCAAGTTTCATTTTGGTTATTGTGTGATGATTAACTTTTTAATGGCTTAGAAAATGAAATGAATGTAAAACAAAGATCTTCAAAATAATATAGTTCCTATGCACTCTACCAAATAACATATATCACTTTAAGCATTATGTTTATGTATTTTATTTTTTTAATGTTTGTTTTTTAGTTATAGCTGGACACAATACCTTTATTTTATTTATTGATTTTTATGTGGTGCTGAGGATCGAATCGAGAGCCTCACATGTTGGAGGCCATCACTCTACTGCTGAGCCACAACCCCAGCCCTCTGTTTGTGTATTTTTAACCTCAGTGAATAGTATGGTTTGTGTGTCTTAAGAGAGGTTTTTCTTTTTTCTTCTTCGCATCAATTAAATTAGACAAAGAGAGGGAACTGGTAGGAACCAAATCTTGATCAACCATTCTATCCTCTTGAATATTACAGACAAATATGGGGTTCAGAAATAGGAAATTATTTACTTGAGGTAGTAGTCTGAACTCAAACTCTGATCTCAGTTTCTTAAATTTAAGATCAACTTTTTACTTCTTGGTCTAAAAAGTTGAAGATGGTATAATTTAAAATCCTTAAATTCGTCATAGTCACAAAGAAGCCGAATATGAACTTGTTTCTTGTGTTCTGGAATAGTAGCAATAGAACCTTTCTCCTGCCAATTCAAAAGAGGTAATTATATCTTAAATGTATTCTTATGCTTATTCTCAGAATGTTTGAGACTGGGGATCAGATATTTGGCTGTGTACATTCTGGCATTGCTTATACTTCAGAGCTAATTACTTGACTCTATCTTTCCTAGATATGAAATTGATAATGTCGGTATATGCAAGTGTAGTCAGAGCCTAGAATTCTTCAAAACAAAAGGTTTGACCACTTAATAAAGTGAACATATTGAATTTATTTAGGATTCAGCTTAGTTGAAGTGACAACAATTTTTACATTGTTTAGGCCTAACGATGTAATAAAAAGGACACACTAGACATGAACTCAGGAGATCCAGATTCTGCCCATTATTATGTGAATTTGGTAAAATCACTCAACTTTGATAAGGATTCCAAATTTCTCCTAGATAAAAGAAGTAAAAATTGATGGGGATTAAAGCACCATCTAACACTATTTTTGCTGTGCTAGAGATTGAACTCAGGGCTTTGCACACAATAGTTGAGTGTTCTATCACTGAATTAAATCCAGATCTTTTTTATTTTTTCCAATTTTTTAGTTGTAGATAGACAGAATCCATTATTTATTTATTTTTATGCAATGCTGAGGATCAACGCTAGTGCCTTACATGTTTTAGGCAAGCACTCTGCCACTGAGCTACAGCCACAGCCTTCTCCCAAGCTTTTTTAATTTCATATTTTGAGACAAGGTCTCCCTAAGTTTCCCAGGCTAGCCTTGAACTTGTGACGCTCCTCACAGTAACTGGGATTATAGGACCATGCCTTTGTGCCTAGCCTAATTCTTACATTCATGATTGTGGGGCTTCACTTTGAACTTTTTTTTTTTTTCAGAATACAAGCATATTTCAAATTAAATGAAGTTTAGTCTTGGTTTCTACTGTTTTTTTCCTTGCCCTTTTGTTTTCTTTAGTTTGATTCCTTTTGTCATTTCTCTTTTTATTTTTTACATATCATGTAGGTAATATTTGGAAATTTTTTGTTAGGTTTGGCTAAGTACTTCAGTGTTGTCTTAAATACTACTCCAGAATGTAAAGAAACTCTTGGGACATTTTTATTTTATAATTTAATCAATTATAAATTCATTCTGCTCTTTGATACAGTTGCAGAACAAAACTCCATAGATGCCTGTGCATATAATAAAGTCCTCATATTCTGAGCAAATAGCAATAGGATTTTAATCTAGACTAAAAATACTGAACTCACTCTTAGTTTTTATGCTTTCAAATTGTGAAAATACTCTAGAAAATTTATTAAAGGAATAAAACCATTTGTTGTATTCTTTTAGAAGATTACAGACCACTTTTTAATAAAAAAATCATCATTCATCATAATCTGTCTGAGAATATTAGGTAGATTAGAGCTAGCTCCTGGAATTGTAGGTATTTCAGCTCGTTTTATCTATGTAGCATCCTGTAATAACTGCCGGAATTAAGCAATGATCTATTTATGGAAAAACAAGTAGTAATCTTCTGCCATAGTTAATCAGAATTAATGAGAAAGTTTTCCTTCAGAGAGAAGGTAAGGAGGAGTATTGGGAAGTGATAAGGTAGTAAACGTTATAAGAGAACTACACATAATTTCAAACAGTACAGAAGAAATAAATTAATTCTAATTTGGGGAGGTCATGTAGTAGGTAACTTCTACTGAGTTTTGTAGAGTGGATTAAGATTCTAGCTTTTTAAAAATATATATTTTTAGTTGTAAATGGACACAATACCTTTATTTTATTTATTTTGTATGTGGTGCTGAGGATTGAACCCAGTGCCTCACACATGCTAGGCAAGAGCTCTACCACTGAGCTACAACCCCAGTCCCAAGAGTCTAACTGTTCAACACAAGTTTACATCATGAATTACTCATGATATTTGATAAAAATGCTTGCTGGGGCCCCATTATTGTGGGGCGAAGTTTCAGAATCTTTAAGTCTGAAGCTAGCAGTCCTTAGACCATCCTTACAAGAAAATATAGACATAAGAAACATTGAGAAATTAGAGGTGTTTTTTGTAGCTGAGTGATAGTCAGATGTGAAGTTTGAAGAATGGGTGCTGTGCAGACTTTAGCATTTGCCAAATAGTGGCAGAGATTTGGTTTTCTTATCAGACCTCTGCCTTTGACTTCTCTCTGCTACTTTCCTAAAGAGGTTTAGGTAACAGAATATTAGAGACTGTTCCTTAGTATTTGATTGATTGAAGGTTGGTTCTTTTTTGAAAAATTTAAATTTGTTCTTTTTAATTGTACCTGACAGTAGAATGTATTTTGATATATGTACATGGAGTATAATTTCCCATTCTTGTGGTTGTATACAATGTGGAGTTACACTGGTCATGTATGCATATATGAACATAGGAAAATTATGTCCGATTCATTCTACCGTCTTTCCTATTCCCATTCCTTCCCTCTTCCCTTCATTCCTGTTTGGCTAATCCCATTCCTTCCCTCTTCCCTTCATTCCTGTTTGGCTAATCCAATGAATTTAGGTGCTCTAAACATTGTTGTAGCTACATCACTATAGTATGCTAATTTTAAGACCTTTGGGTATAGGCCGAGGAGTGGGATAACTGGATCAAATGGTGGTTCCATTCCAAGTTTTTTAGGGAATTTCCATACTGCTTTTCAGAGTGGTTGCACTGGAGTGTATGAGTGTACCTTTCCCCCCCTACAACCTTGCCAGCATTTATTGTTACTTGTATTCTTTTTTTTTAAGTTTAAGTGAATATTTATCTCAAGATATGGAAGGATTTCTAAAAATCAGTAGTATGAAGGAAATCACAAAGTGATGATTCATAGACTTATACACTGACCACAGATTTATATACCTTGTATTCTTAATAATTGCCATTCTGACTAGAGTGAGATGAAATCTCAATGTAGTTTTAATTTGCATTTCTCTAATTGC